CACGTGGCTGGACTGCCCGTACTGGGAGTGCAGCAGTGACTGTGCTCACTTGACCCTCGGTGTTTCTCTGGAGTATTTTTGTAAGAGCACATGTAGTTCTGGTGTAATTAGGACGTATGGATTAGGAGCCCAACCACCCTGCCTTTTCAGATAGTTTACTGAAGGGTCAGTAGCAACCAGCCTGACCCATGATACATTTGAGCTCTTGACCTTGAAGTGAAAGTGCCCTCATAACCTCTTTTTCTGCAGGGACAAAGAGTAATGTGGCATGATGCTGTACTGTGATTTGACCTGAGCTAGTGCAGAGAGAAACAGAGGTAACATCTTCAGTGCTTGCAGCCTTTCCCCATGCAATAGTGAGAGGCTTTGAGGCTGCTGGAGGTGGGGGAGATGCTGCCTTTGTGATGTGAACTTGCTTTTTTTTTTTTTTTAAAGAAGGGAAAAACACATGTCACAGCCCAGTGGGGTACATTTGAAATACTTTTGAAAAGCACTGTGAGGAGCTGGACTTCTTCTCTATAACCATTTTCTGCAGCTAAATAAGAAAAAGTAACAAAACCTGAAACTACAGTGAGATGTTGGAAGTATAGCTGGCTCTCACGAAGCATGCTTCTAAGAGACAAACCTTCCTTATGACTTAGAGAATAGCTGCTGGCCAGGACAGCCTTTCAAGCATCTGAGCAAAGAGATAGTATGTGTGTATACATGTATGCTTCTGTATGTGCAAATCCTTTGGACATCTATGAGTGAGGAAAAAAGCCTCACTGAAGGCAGGAGAAGGAAATGTAGGAGTTAGCATCTATGAATCCTTCCTAGATTAGAATGAAAATAATGACATTCCTAATGAATCCTAAAGGTGAACTTTTTATATACAGACCTACCACCCTTTATACATAGGTATACAGTGACTTTACATATAAAAAATCCTTGGCATTGTTTTAACAGTTTCCCTTTAGTCTTATCTTTCCCTCTGCTTCTTAATACTCTTTTTTTTTTTTCTTGCTCACTGACACAGTTTTCATCTTTCCCCCAAATCAGAACCTGTGTGGCCAGGACCTGTATTTCTGCAACCAGCCCACTCATAGCCAGAGGAGAAGAAATGCAGAGCTTTGTGTGTGTGACAGATTTTCTCTTTTCCCTGGATAATTGAAAATAAATGGTGGTTAGATTAAAACAAGCAGCCATGTGCTCCTACACCCTGCTACTGAGACTGGACTGAGAAATGAAAGAGATTGCTGGTGTGGGGCTGTAGTAATCATAGCTCGGAGTGATGGAGCACCCTTCAGGCAGAGGAAATAGACCCCCAGCTTGCTTCGTGTTTTATTGGTCTGATCCTGTGGAGCTGTGTTGATTTACCGAAGCAGAGAAGCAGTGTTTGTAGATGTGTGTTAGTGAAATCAATTCACCCACTCCAAAGCACAGGCTCGAGGAGCCTGGGCCAGCAGGGACTCCATGCCCACAGCAGCGGGTGAGCACCAGGACAGCCAGCGAAGGCTGGAGAAGCCAAATGACCTGTGGGCAGCAGGGCTCTGGAGATAATCAGGTGCATTGGAAACCACTGCAATGCTTCACCAAAACAGCCTGGACCCTGAAACCACCAGATCCATCCAGGCACCACGGGGGGAATTTTCTAAGCCCAGTGTAGAATGGGCTCCATGCTGAAGGGAGGGTTTGGCTCCCTTCCTCTCAGGCAATGGGACAGTTTTAAATGCTCACCCAGGTGTGGCAGGGGGCCTCGTGGACACAACCTCTTGTTCCTACTGTAAGGACAGTTCCTCACAAGTGAACTCATTCAGGGACATTTGATTTGAAAGGTTCCCCAGCTCCCGTCTCACAAAGGAGCGGTAGGAAAAGCTTCAGAAAGCAAGGTGATCAGTGGAAGCTAGGAGTGGAAAATCTGAATAAATAAGCAATTTTGTGAGCAATGGAGTGACTGAAATGTTCTTGATCATCTCTTCCCCCCTTTCTTGTAACATCTGCAGTCTGGGCAGACTTTCAAATATCTCCTTTGACACAATGGCGTGATGGGGCAAGGAAAAATTCAGCATATTACTGGAAGCGTTAATGAATGTGGAAAGAAGAGTTTTCTGAGATGGGGCCAGTGGAGTTTGCAAGTTAGCTGAAATCACAATGAAAATGCACCACTTAGTGAATGTATAAATAATTCCATACATTATTCTATAGCACATCAAAACACAAAGCCAGCCTCACACGCTTCAGCAGTCTTTGCTTCTGAGTGTTTTAAATGAGCTCAAAACCCTCTCTGATGCTTTTCTTCATAGGTGAATGGCTATCCAATGTACCAAAAGCAAAAATGTAATTAAACTTTAAACTCTTAAAATGGCAAGTACCGCTGGGATAACACATGGGTAAAACACAGTAATTGTTTGTATTTACTCTCCGTCTAGTTAGCATTTCTTTTCAGGTGCCTGCCACAAATGCTAGCTCAAAAAGGCAAAAACTGTAAGAATTAGTTTGTCTTTGTGAATTCAGAGCTTCGAAGTGTTAATTGACTTTCGATGTGGTGTGATCTCATTACTTGCACACTGGGGAAAATACTCTACTGGATGCTGGTAATGCAGCAGGGCTTCTCTCTCATATATTTCAAAACCTTCCCACAAACATACAACCTTCATCTCAAGCCCTGGCAGCAGTACATCCTATATCAGAAGAGCTGAGCACCGTTAAATAGGGAGAATGTATCTCTGCTCTCTTTCCCTGAGATCTTTTCCCTATCTTTCCCTGGGGGAAAAGGGGCGTTGGAAACCCCCATATCCTGGGACTCAAACTACCATTGTGTGCTGTGTTGTCTTCTCACTAGGAAATAAGGAATTAAATCCTTATAAGAAGTACAGCAGAAAGGGCATCCAAATTGCCATACCAAGACTATGTAGAGAAAGGTTTTTTTGATGCCAGATAAAATAGCAAATTGTGTTAGACCTGTTATATTCACATATGAGGCCCTATGTCTCAAGCATTCTGAAACATTGTCACATGCAGCACCTAAATAATCCTACTAAAAGTTAAAGGGATTTATTGAATATATGAGCAGAATTTCACGATATGGTCAGATCTCTGCTCTGACAGTGAGGAAATGTTTGATTACATTTCCACTTCATCCTGACCTTAACATGGCAGCAGTATAAAAAGGTGTAGGAAGGAAAAGCAAACATGCACTCAACCTCACCCTTTCTTGAGCTTTTCAGACAATTCATAAGAGAAGGCAGGAACTTGTTCTTCAATATTTTGAGGGGTTCTGGTGTGTATGTAACTGGCAGGGACTCTGCAGGGACTCTGCAGTAAACACCATTGGGAATTTTTACAGTTCCTGCCTTTTGCAATTGGGCTTTCCACAAAATATTTTGCAGTACCTGTAAGCCCTGGTTTCCAAGTAGAGGTGTTATGCACAGGGTGCCTTTGCAAGCTGGCCCCAGCTTGCTTCTGAGTGGATGCGAGTAAGTCCAATTTTCATGCTAATGGTGCATTGAGCTTTAAACATTCAGAAGAAAACTTTGATAAAGCATCTTAGTAGCGCTTGTGTTTTTTTTTTCCCCCCAGACTGCTCCAGTTTATGGGTGGTTCAGGTGGTTTCAAGAGTTGCCAAAATGATCTGCATTTGCAAAGCAACTTATTCTGTTAGTGCTCCGAGACTTTATATTGAGTATTTTGCAAACCGTTACAAGATTGTATCTTTCATTAGGGCCACTGAAAAGGTTGTATGCCAATTCACTCTGAAGATTAGACTTCCAATATATTGCCATAAATAAGATCTCTGGAGAGATTAGAAAAAAAAAAAAAAAAAAAAGAAAAAATGAAAAAAAAGGTTTTGGAAAGTTTCTGAACTTCTGTGGAGGTTTGATCAATTCTCAAAGCAGGAGATTCCCTTCTGTGTCTAGATACTCCTTCCCTTTGACATTTACACTATTTCGTCTCAGACAGCTGATCGTGTAGGTAAGGCAATTAAAACATCAAGAAAAATTAGTCCTTTTAATCCCTCCTCCTCTTTAAATCGGCTTGTGATAAAGTCTTGCTGTAAAGACCAGTGGAATCAGTACTGATAATGAAGGATTAGCCCTCATTAGCTTTGTTTGTTTGTTTATTGTGCAGTCCCCGGTGTTCATCTGGCCAGCGTAGCCACCTGCAATGCAAAGCAGACACCTGCATCTGAACTGGCTGTTTGGACACCCTTAGAAGCACCTCTTTCTCTCCCCTAAGGGGTCATTCATGCTTGGGGACTGCCATTTCCCTGGGAGGGATTAAACTAGCCCTGTTTCCTCAACAGCTTCTGTAGGAAATGTAAATGATAAGGTCACAAGTTCAGGTATTTCCTGGTGTGATCCAAAGGCTTCAGTTTCAGCTATTTTAAAGCATTATTTGATAGCTGATTGATCATGAAGCAATTTAGATCTAGACTCAGTTTACACATACCACAGACCCTGGAGAATGTGATTCAGTAAGGGAAATGACTTTACTTGACCATAGCTAACTTGTGGCAATTATTCTTTGCTGGTGTGATGATCTCAGGATATGCATGGGGAACGGGAAATCAATCCCTTTAGAAACTTTACTTGAACGTTGTGGCCACCTCTTATTTGCAGCCTGCCTAGATAACTGATGAAAAGCTCACATGCAGGAACAGACTTGCCATCTCCTTAACACTGTGGTCCAGGGTAGCAGAAAAGTCAAGTGAAAAAACCAACCTGCAGAAATGAGGTCAGACAAGCCAGAGGGAACTAACTTTCCTTTTAGCACCAGGGAGCCTGCAGGCTTCCCATCTACTGCCTGTTATTAACAGCCAAGAAGCAAGGCAGAGGCAGTCCCTGCCCTCTCTCCAGGCTGGGAGGTGTTAATGGATGGGTGTGAGAGGATGCCATTGGGGTGGAGGTGAAAGATGAGTGATCTGAACACAGCCATCAGGTTTATTCCTGCCAGCTGCTCTGAGCCAAGTGAAGTGATATAATCACAGAGCAGGCAAGCCCCAGAGATCTGAGTAGGGGGGTGCGGAGGTGTCTAGTAGGCAGCTGTGTGCCTCCCTTATAGGAGGGTGTTGTCAGGACTGTGAGGTTTGAGCTTTTTGGATGGAGAAGGTGTATCTCCAAGTCAGAGGATGGCACCAGCTTCTCCCTTGAAACAAGCTTCCTACTGTTCCATCCCACAGAAAATAAGTTCAGGAAGTGTGTCACATTTTTAGTAAGTGTTTTTAGTTTAGGGTGGTAGATGAGCCAAAAGAAGAACCTTTATCAGAACTAACACTGAGCTAGGTTGTGAATACTTCAGCATATGTCAATCCCACAGCATTCCCAAAGGATCACATCTTCTCAGTCTTAATTCATTTCTTTTTCTTTACACACATTTTTTTTCTTTCAGCTCTTCTCTGCCTTTCTCCTGGGCTTTCCTTTCCCTGTTTCTTTTCAACTCAAATTTCACAATCTGGCTTTCACACCCTGTATTTGCTGTCTTGGGCCTCCTTCACCGAGACCACCAAGACTCTCCATTCTCCACTTCTGTCCCTTTCTTGAAGTACCTGCCTGCTCCTCCCCCCCATCTCCATATCTTTGTTCTTCTCTATCTTCAGTTTTCAACCTCTTTGAAATTCTCCCTCAGTTTCCCTGTGTCCTGGTTCCTCTGTTTATCCTCTTGTATTGCTTTCTCTACCTCTCAGATAACTCCTCCCCCTCACCTGTCTACAATCTTAGGATTTCTCTCATGCACTAATTTAGTTTCTGTCGCATGCTGAGTTCACCTCTCCCATGTTGCTTCATTGCAGGGAGGTTTTGCAGACTGTGTTTGCTGGTTATCTTTTTTACCACGGGGGTTGAAGATATTCTACATGTAATATGGGCTGGGTTTACTCTTCCAATTCCACTAAACCATCAGAAGATCCATACAGGTATGCACTTTCGTACTGTATTATGGCTTTACAGTGTAATGGTGTTACCCAGCAGAAATGCTGGAAAAATCAAAGATTGTGCTTCTTCCTATTAGGTGGTGAATTGCAATTAGAGAACCCAGTGGAAAAATTGGGTTGATTCATTTAGTTCTGCTCTCAATTCGTCAGTCTGAGAGTTAATCTCTTGCCTGCAGCCACAGAAAATAGCTACTGAAATAGCACCATTTGTTCTAGCAAGTGGGCAGAGAGGACATGGCTAACCTGCTGAGCTTCCCTTTGCCAACTGGCTGCTATTTGGAGATCTGGGCTGAAGTTAAGATGTGCTTGTCTGTGGTTTGAAGCTAATTAGGTTTGTTGACCCTCTGATGTTTTCTGTTGTGTATCAGATCTAAAACTGGAAGCAACAGGTTATTTTTGTCCTCAGGCAAAAAAGGCTGCTTAGGACCCACCTTTCTTTCTGTGTCTAGGAGTATTGTTGAGTGCTTTATTTTCCTAAGATCACAAAATGAGTCTGGTGGGGATTCTGAAAACTTTTAAAAGATATCTTATTGTAAATAGTAAGGTATTTGGCAATTTAATTATTTTAAGTCTTTGTGAAGTGTTCATAATACCAGGCAGTATGAATGGAAGTTCCAGGATCGTTATCATTATTGTTTCTTTCATGAGGTGAAAAGGAGAGTATCCCATGTTCACTATTCCTCCAGCAGCTTCTTACTGAAAAAAATAGTAGGGACACTTATCTGGCTTTTAAGAATCATCTTGAGTATATCAGCATCTTATCAAGCAACAAATGCTAGAATATGGTATCTGGCTGTGCAAAATCTCAGGAGCTTTTGTGCTCTTTTTCACACTCTAAAAGCTTTTAATTGTTATCTCATTTGCTCAATGTGTAAGATTCTGATGCCCTGAGGAGCTGGGTTGCACCTCTCTATATCTCTAGCTTGCTTACTATTAGGTTTGAGTAGTGACATTAGAATAGTGTTGTGGCATGCTGTTAAAAATTCAGTGTAATCCTTTAAATGTAATATGTAATTTCTATTAGTCTAAACTCAAATGTGGAGTAATTCAAGACTTTGAATCCTTATTCCTTCTCTCTATCCTGAACCCCATGTCTTCGTTCTGCTTTCCATTAAGGGGGATCATACCACGTTGGCTCTTGTTCCATATTTTTAAAACCACTACTAGTAAGAGGCCGTGTTATGATACATTCTGTTCTGGTGAACTATGTCTGAGGGATAGATAGAGAACTCATGACCACCAATTGAAGTGTACTTTCAAGTACAATTGAAGGTACTAGTGTACAAATATGAATAAATGCAAATGTGCAAGTACACAGTACAGTACACATACACAGGCACATATATACAAAATCATAATTGCCATCTTCTATTCCTAATGGTGCTGCTATAAAGGACACTGTTTCTGACACAGTTGAAAGCAAAATGGTTGTTTCTGCATTTTTACCCCCATATCCTTGAATGTTTTTTTTTCTTGTTTTCTAATTGGTCTTCACAGTTATAGCTCATTTCTTGTTAACAGTCAGTTTCATTTTCCACTTGCACAACCCCTCCAATCTTTCCAACAGTGCAGCATGAGATAATAAAAGTATAACTATTCTCACTTGGGATTTAATTTCTTGCAGTGCTGTGGACAGAATGGTAATTATACACCACTTGCTGGTTCAGGAAACTGAGCACAAAGTACTGACATTTGCATAACCTGCTAGACAATTGGTCCATGCAGTATCTGAATGCTTCATAACATTAAGATATTTATCTTCAAGACAACTTCCCTCTGGAGGTGAGAATAATAATATCAATTTTTTGCTGATGATGAACTGATGCACAAAACTATTAATTGCCTTCCTAATGACATGTAAGGAAGAGTCACAAGTCACACCTAGGTTTCTTGACCGATGAACTTCTAAACATCAGACCAAATTCCCATTACTCATATATGGTATATTTGGATTTAACAGATAATTCATCTTCCTGTTTGCATATCCATCTGATATTGCTGCCTGTAATTTTGGGTTCATATTCTTTGGTAATTTCAAGTAAGAGGAAACTCAATTTCTAAAGGTTCTGCCTAGTTGGGACCTTTTGGTGCTTTGTGTAATGGAAATTGGAATCAGTTACTTTTAGCCAATTACTTTTCCAAACAAATTAAAATGATTTCTTCCATATCAAAGGCATTAGGTTAATATATTCTGTTAATTTGTTCGAATGGAATATGTTTAGAGAATAGCAAGACTGCATTCCTCTTAGGTGATGAGAAAATTTTGGTAACAAGGTTGGGAGGCTAAATGTTCAGACAGGTGGGTTTTGATAAAATGTGAAGAGACTATATGGCCATAAAAGATTTGGTAGAACATTTTAAAATATATGACTTTAAAAATATAGAAATATTGTTAACATTAATTATTAATGAGTGCATGAAGAACATATATATACATTACTAAACTGGAACTACATAGAAACCAGTCTCGGTTCTAAAAGGGCATGTGTGGAAAGCGGTTCTTTGGGGTTTTCTCTAGTATGATTTTTTTATTTAATAACAGCTTGCTTTTTACCCTGCTAGACTAAGAAATCTGTGAATATGAAGAAACCAGCAAACTGCGTGTAAGCTTTTTGCTTAATAAGATTTTTTTTCTTTAATAGTGGACTGTTGAGACATCTCTGATCAGTTAGTGTTTAAGTATTTCTGGGACTTTATACAATGACCTGGCAGCATCAAACCTTACCCAGAAAAAAGTGTTAATTAAGTTCTACCTAACATCAGTGTATTATGTATTGAAGCTGCAACAGGGGAGGTTCAGGCTGGATATCACTGGAACAGGCTCCCCAGGGAAGTGGTCATAGCACTGAGCCTGCCAGAATTCAATAATTGTTTGGACAATGCTCTCTGATTTTTTTTTTTTGGGTGGTCCTTTGGGGACCCAGGAGTTGGACTCAATGATCCTTGTGGGTCCCTTCTAACTCAGATATTCTATGATTGTTAATACTGTTTTACTCTCACCTTATCCATCCACTCATCCAACCACAGGCATGGTATTTCTCCATATTGGACACGTCTTCCTCACAAGCCCCACATAAAGTCAAGTAATGCGATCATGTGCTTTTTCATGGGAGAAATTTAGGCACAAAGAAACTAAACGAGGTCAAAAAGAGTGAAAAAGTAAACAACTGTCTCAAATCTCAGTCCTCAAGCAGGATACAAAACTTGGATATTTTGATATCCATGATATATTTTGTCTTTACTGCCTTAAATTTTGAGCTATTGCAGTCACTGAACAGCGAAAGTTTTCAGGTCTGCAGTCTCCCAGAGATCTCTTTCCCTTCATTAGTCTAAGCTGCAATTCATCATTGTCTTACCAGGCAAACCCAAGCTCTGTGGTGAACTGACAGTGTGGCGCACTTCCTTCCCTTTTTCCTTGAACTCTCTCTTGTATTACAGATCAGTAGCCCTCACATCCTCATCTTTCTGGAAGGACATGTCTACTTTCTCCCACTGGCTTTGTAAGAATATGGCAGTGCATGAGCAAGGTGAATTTTATCTGCAGCTGAGAAGATCATGCCCAGGTGACAGCAGTGCTAGACCTACTGCAGCTCAGCAAGTTGCCCCTGACTGACTGATCTGCAGTGAAGTGTTGTGAGTCCCAAGAGCAGTACAATTGCAAGCCTGGTGGTGGGCTATTAACACTTAGCTGTGTCAGTGCAAGAAGCTTTCAAATGGTCTGTGATTAGGGATGGTGACCTGAAGGAGAGGTAGTAATGTGTGGAGGGGCATGTAACACAGTGTCAGGTAATGAGCTTGTGAGGGGAGGCTTTCTTTGCAAAACTAGATGTTTGCAGTTGAGTACATTTTCTCACCACTCTGCCTGGAGGACAGCATGCTCATGTTTTGCACTTTTGTGCCTTACAGGAAAGGGTTAGAGGAGATGTTTGGATCTGCCCTTGTCAAAGTCAGGGCAAAGCTCCAAGCTGCAGTTCAGCTTGTCAGACTCCCAGGAACCAGACATGTCCTGATTAACAAAAAGACTTAGAGTTGATCAAGAAATGCTGTGTAAACTTCCTCAGAGCTTGAAGAGTGAATTCCTTCCCAATCCTCTAAGACCACATCACAGTTGTGTTAATATGCCTTGCTAATCCAGCCATGAGACTTATACTAACATGCTGCAACCTTCCCAAGGAGCTCACTGCATTTACTAGCTAGCTATGTAAAGCTGGAATAAGGTTTTGTTATCAATGTCATGTAATTCTGCTCACTGCAAAACCAAACAGGGCAAGTTGACACCACCGTATGTGTATGGTATTGCCCTATGATACGACCTCATCTCTGTTTCCTTCCTGAAATATTTACTATTGTGCATCAGCAGAGCTATCTAAAAATGCCACAGGTATGCAGAAATCCGGTGCCATGCTGCACTGAGACTTGTGTCTGAATAGTCTGCCATTTTATACTAAATTAACAATGTGACTCCGTGCTGTTGTGTCCTGCTGTGTTTCTGGTAAGGACACCATGTTTCTGTGCAAACCGGCATCCAGGTGTACTCATTAGTTCAGTTGCTGTAAGTCAAAGCTGGTGGTCAGCAAAGGGATGAGTAGCTGTGAAGAAGATACCAGGAAAACAGACAACCGAGCTCTGGTAGCTGTTGTGTGTGTGGAGTGCTTTTGTATTCATGACAACCTGTTCATTTGCAAAGTGCACAGAAAATCAATCAAAATCAAATGCAAACAAAGAAATGAGAAATTAATCAGGAAAGCCATGGGCTAATCACATGGCACCCTCCTCAATTACTCTAACAGAAAAAGCACAATTGCTGGTAATGGCTCCTGGTCTATAATGGCAGTCTTTCCAATCAAGCACTTATTCAGATGTTAGTTAATTAAGTGAGTTGTATGGAACAGTATTCCACTCTTTTTTTGGTTTAATGAGATAAATGGATTCAATTTTCCAATTTCATACACCTTCCTCAAAAGTTGTAAAATGAGAACAATGTACGTAGGTTTGTATTTGTGTATAGCTTTCTAAATGTAAAGGCAGGAATACAGGTCTCAGAAGAGCTCTGCATCCACCACAGAAAATTCAGCCTTTATGTAATCACTGTCATATAAATCAAGCTTCAATTTCAAAACTACTGATCTCTACTTCTCTTGTTCTAGGAACCCCTCTTCTTCATTTACTGGAAATCATTTCCTAGTCTAGACTTGGAAACCAGCAGCAGAATTTGCATGGAAGATATCTGCTGCCCAACTTGTGCAGAAACTTTGCTCCTTAAAATGTTTTTTTTTTTTTTTTTTTTTAAAATGTGAGAGTGAACCTTGTGTCAAAATAATGAGCTTCATGCATTCAAATTAGAGCTTGAGTGTTAATTAGGTCACTCTTACTAAAATGATTTATTGAATTATATTTGGTATTAGCAGCCCTAAGTTTTCCTCCATGGAGAGTCAGTGAAAATCACCTTCATCAATCTTCAAGACTTTATTAAACTTATTTTTTCCCTCTATTTTTTTTAATTTATTAAATAATCTACTCTGAGAGACTGATTGAGTAGTTCTTCAAGACATTGAGAAGCCTCATAAGAAAAAACAAATCTTAATTTTTAGGTTTTTAAGGCAGATTAATAAAAATATGCTTTAGGAGCCTAATTAACTATTTTGAGCTGAACTGGAAGGCTTTCATTGCTGCCAATAGCTACTGGATGATATTTAATATAGCAGACATACAGAAGATGGTCAAGGTACTTACATAGTTTAAAAAAGTTCCAAAGCCAGGATCAAATATCTGATGTTTCAGACCATGCTGGATAGCTTGTAGGAAGAAAAAAAAAAAAAGGGAAAGAAAAGGAGTTCAGGGTGAGAACTTTTATTCCTTCACTCTTCCTCGTTTTGGGTCTCAGAGGCTTTTCAAAGCTCTTGACGTGGGGGTAAACCAAGGTCTAGTAACTTTCAGATTTGTAGGTATTTGAACATCTGACGTGCCCTATAAAGGCTCTTATGTTGGTCTCCAGAGTACCCTGGGGGCCAGATACTTTCTTGTACTGACTGTGATGGTGAAGATTACTTCAAAGAGTTGTTTTCTTTATCTAAGATACTGCCCCATGCCCTTTAAATATGGGGGCATGAAGCTGTCATGATGTAGTCTTAGAGCAAACAAAAGGAAATCACCTTCACAAAATACAGTTTGGCTGTAGAGTTCCTTGCAGCAGGATGGTGTAGATGCTGGAAGTTTACATGAGTGCAAAACATTAGTGGACAAATTCACATGAAAAAAGCTTTGATGGGTATCATGTACAAGGGCATCCTGCCTGGTTAGGAAAAACTTTAAACAGAATTTCCTAGTGATCAAATAACATTTGCCTACCACAATTCTGACTACAGAGCCTGACCCTTTAAAAGAGTAAAAAAGGCTAATTTTTTAAAGCAGGTTCCATTCCCATGAGATCGTGTCTGCCATGCCATCACTCACACATCTCAGGAGTTCTGCGGGAAGAGGGAAGATTTTCCAGGGAAATAGGTTTAAGAAAGGTGTTCACAAAGCCAGGGTCTGCAGCACAGCAGGGTGCCTCCTCTGCAAGTTAACATGTTTTCATTTTAATAGACATTTTTTCTGTTACTGTGTGTATGTGTGTGTGTGTGTATTTGTTAGGCATTGGAATAGGCTGCCCAGGGAAGTGGTGGAGTCACCATCCCTGGCGGTCTTTAAAAGACATTTAGATGTTGAACTTCGCGATATGGTTTAGTGGAGGACTTGTTAGTGTTAGGTCAGAGGTTGGACTCAATGATCTTGAGGTCTCTTCCAACCTAGACAATTCTGTGATATATATATGTGTGTGTGTATATATGTATATATATATATATATATGTGTGTATATATATATATACATATATATATATTTTATAAATATATATATAAATATATATATATATATAGTGGTTTATATATATATATAAACCACTAGCAAGCAGAATGCAGCTGTGAACTACATTCCCAGTCTGTCTTGCTTCTCCAAGTGACAACTGTCTTTCAATGAGCACTGTTTTATTCATTACCCTTTGTATTTGTGTTCCTTGATTCTTTCTATCCTGCTCTCCTTGGCTTGTGTGACTACGTGTTCTGTGTGTGCTTAGGCATCTGTGTCCATCTTCTGCCTGCATGATTTTTAGTGAGTTGAATTATCACCAAATTTTACAGAGGGGTATAAATCTCAAATATAGCTGGTTCTTACACGTTTTGTGAAAAGAAGCAGCCGGAAAGAGGCCAAGGAGACTTTATCTGTATTCTTAGTGCACAGTCACAGCTTTTACTAGACAGTAGTGAGTCTACACAAGAGTGTGCTGTTATTACAGTCCAAGCTTCGGAAAAAACTTCAGAGCTCACACACTATTAGACACCAGAAAATCCAGCCAAAAACACAGCCAACCAAACAACTAATTTCAATTACATTTCATCTCGGTGTTTTCTTTGCAGAATCAAATCTGCAGAAATTTTCCTGAAAGGAAATTGCCATCTTTTTCTTTGGGTCTGAATCTATACAGTGAAAGTGGACTCATGGGATAAGTAATCCCCTCTCTCCTCCTTGTGAATTCAAGGATCATTAAGTGTTCGTAGCAATGATCCAAGATTGGTCTCCACAGAGCCTCCATGCTACGATTTTTATATAGTTCAGATCTTTATTTAGGTCTATAGGAAAGGCTTGCAGAGAACAATCAAGCCCTGAAGTCTTAGCATTAAAATATCACAATCAATAGAAACAAGCAAGCAAAAAACAAAACCAAAAAAACTCTGTTCCAGCCTGCAAGTAGGAATAACACACATGTGCAAGGCCAGATACTGCATTGTACCAGCTGATTAACATAAGTTAACATTGAATTTGAGCTGTGTGGACTATATATCTGATTAGTTATTATGCTCAATTGAGGGTTACTGAACAGAAGGAAAATTCTGATGGCTGCACAGATCAAAGGAATGCTCGGGCTGAAGTGTTGTGTATTCTGTCTTGACCTCCAGTGGGAATTGCTTATGTACTGTGGATCAACATTGGGCTAGACACTTGCTTAAACCCAGACTAGCTATTACATAGCATAATATCTGATTACTTTATTTGCCTAGAAAATCTACTTTCCTTTCAATACATTTGTGTAGCAAACAATGAGGGAGAATGAAATAGATTGGAAAATGTTTTTTTTTTTCCAAAAAATGGCCCAAATGTAGAAGAGTTTGGTTTCTGTTCCTGAATTAGAAGTGGATTTTTTATTTATTTTTTTTTTTTTTAAATTTATTTCTAGCTTTCTGGCCTTTAAAAAAAAGTTTATAATAAAAAATAAAATCCCAGAAATAGAGTGGCAATGTCTAAGAAGTGGAAAATAACATCAAAGTAGAAATGATTTTTAAAGCTGACATTTCTGGGATGTTTAATGATAAGTCAAACTTGCTAGAGCAGAGAAAAGCTGAGCTAATGCACAACGATCTGAGATTTTTCCCTTGACTAACACATCTAATACTATCAACAAGCATGCATATTCCCTACAAAGAGCAGATGGGAAAGCATCGGCTAATGACTGTATGCAGAAGCTCGGGAATCTCTCCTTTGCAAAAAAATCAGACACATCAGATAAAAGTTTTGGTTCATATATACATACATATATATATATATACACACACACTTACAAACAACTGTTAAGTAAAGATTCGTTGGGTAGAATCTTTGCAAAGCCTCTTCTATTTCATTGGCTACGGTTACTTCACTGCTGTAGGAAGAAACCTTCCATCCTTTCCACTTTGCATGTAATTACACATATGAGGCAAGACAGATGCAAGATCTGGTGGTGCAATGGGTAATTGAGAGGAAAGAATTTGAATCAAGAGGTGTATCAGAATCATACACAATCTCGATCTGGAAGGGACCCACAAGCATCACTGCATGCAACTCCAGGCTCTATGCAGGGCTACATACTTGTAGGATTAGATGGGAAAGGCCTGGTTTGCTGATGGATAGTAAAGAAGGCCATACAAAGGAGGATCTGGAAGTGCTCATATTTTGCAGAACAGCTGGGAGACCCACTGAACACTTCGGTGCATTACCAGATCAGAGAAAGATCTGTGGTTGAAACCAGATGAACTTTTTTTTATTGCTGCACTTGTGTTTTTGCCGGAGTGAGCAGCGAGTAGGATTTAGCCCCAGAATGAGTTTAAATGAGGTGCAGAACGAAAAGCAACACAGCAAGAATTGGAATTGCACACGTGAACTGGCAGTGGAACAGAAGGACTGCTCTGAACACGGTATTTTAACCCAGGGCATGAGATGGTCCTAGCCTGTGAGAGAGGTGTCTGCAGGTTCACAGGCATCTTTACTCAAGGGAGATGTCCAGAGACAGGGAAACAGGAAACCTGTCTGCACTGCTCATAACTACATTCTGCTTGCTAATAAAAAATAAAAAGAATCTTTTAACAGAGGAACCTGTCTATTAAAATAAGAATATGGAAAGATGAGTTACAAGTGTTAACTTTAAGCAGAGATTTGAAAGAGGCAGCCATTAGTTTTGCTCCTGCCATGAACAGTGGTTTTAAGATTTCCTGTCAGTATTGGGATATGGCATATATTAAATTAGAAAATGCTTCTGGTTTGTGTGGAGGACATACTGCTGGGTTAAGAAGCTCATTAGAGATATTTGCTGAATTCATATTTATTCCCAGAATCAATACTTGTAATATACTAATTAAATCAGCTGTTTAGGACAGCCCCATGCTGTAGCAGAAGGAGTCTGTTCCCATTGTGACACATGCAATACAGCATTTAGCTCCCATTATTATTAATGAGCACTGCAGGCTTAATTCCTGATGTGAGTCTCTGAACAGGCATGCACACAGTCTTATCCATCTGCTAAATGTTTTAAGTGGTACCTTTTCCAGCACTCAGGATGTGTTAACCCTTCCAGGGCCTTTGCTTTGGGGTTGCGAGAGGACTTGGGCAGCAGCTCCAAAAGGCTCTTTATTATCTCAGTGGACTTCGGAAGAGGGCCCCATGGGGCTTCACAAGGAAACCAAAGCGAGCATTTGGATTTGATGTACCAGAGGAACTATGCAGAAAAGTGAGAGCATCCAGATTTCCCCATGTTCATGGACGCTGTCATTTCAAGAGGGCAGTAACACTTTTGGCTATTACTTGTCTTGCCCTTGAGTCAAAATAATAACGATTCTCAGTACTCTTCATAGTATCATGAAATATTTTATGACTTTAATTTCCTTAATTGTATTAGGGTGCAATTCCCTGCCCTGGAATTTGATTGCTGGGCTCAGGAGACTCTTACTATTTGAAGAAGACATGCTCTGGTGCCTGTGAGTCACAGCTTTCAGCTGCTGCTTTCCCCCTTTAACACATGGATTTCTGCAGCTCTTCTGCCAAACTGTGACTAGTAGCCACAAAGAACAGGTTCTCTTTTTAGATGTTACTAATTCTTCAGCTCCAGTTGCCCCCTTGCAGGAAATAGAGTCAAGTCCTCTACTGCAGTTAGCAGAGGTTGGGTGTGCATAGAAAAATAGTGGTTGAGATGACGCTTTCTTGTCCCATTGCAATTCCCTGCTCTCTTTTTGCCATTGTCAGGACCCAGAACCCTGTCCCCAGACCTAGAGAACAACCCTGGGCAGGAAGCCCTGCACTTTCCTGTGGAAAGGTTTGCAAAAGGTTGCAGCTGGGCCTGCACTTTCCTTGGACCTGTCTTTCCATGCTACTGCTCAACTTATTCAATGGTTTTGGTCTCTAGTAAGAGTATCATGACACAGGGGTCACAAACAGTCTTTCTGCCCAAGGGAGGGGAGAATCTCCTGTTACAGAGTTTTGCGCTTCATAGCTGCAAATTATTGCAGCAGGGGTGAGTGCCCTCGCACTCCAGGACATGCGGCTGCTCCAGGCTTTCACTA